AGCTGGCATACGCCGCCCACCGCCTCGTCGCTTGCGTCTGTGTCCAGCACGAAGGGACGAGCTTCGGCATTGGCATCGGCCGCGAAGAGAGCACGATTCAACTCCTTAAACGCTTCTGTGTGTTCGTTATCCCAACAAAATTTCTTTTTTGCCTGTTTCTCTGTCAAATTTTACAAGGGATAATAATAATAGTAGCCACGCAAAGGAAGCTGCGAAGTTCTGTTTGGTTTGTAGGTGTCGACCAAGTCCTTACTTCTTTTGTTCTGTCTTCTGTGACCGCCATCCCGTCTGCAGAAATTGTGCCCCAGAAACGTGACAAACTTTTGAAGAAAACTGCATTTCTTCGAATTCAACGTCAGACCCGCTTCCCGAAGTCGATCCAGCACTAATGGGAGGTTGGAGTTATGTTGTTTGATGTCTCTCCCGAACACGAGGATGTCGTCCAGATAGATAACGAAGTGTTTCGGGAGCAGACCGCGCAATGCCGTCTGCATAAGTCGCTAGGATGTGGCCGCCGCTTTATAAAGCCCAAAAGGCATCGTTTGGAATTCATATCGTCCATTTGGCATGCTGAAGGCTGTTCTTTCTCTATCCTTCTCCTTCACCTCCACCTGCCAGTAGCCGGATTTCAGATCCAATGGTGAGAACCACTTCATTCCTTGCAGAGAGTCGTTAATGTGGGGTAGAGGGAACGCATCCCTCTTTGTTACTGCATTGAGCCTCCTATAATCGACGCATAGACGTAGACTGCCGTCGCTCTTTTTAACTAATGCGATGGGGGAGGGCCACGGTGACTGGCAGGGTCTGATAACGTTATCGCGCACCTTCTTGTCAATCAATCGATGTACTTCGTCTTGGAGGGGTGTTGGTATGCTTCTCTGGGACTGCCAGACCGGTTTGGCCTCACCCGTATCGATTCTGCGGAGTTTCGCTCCCTCCCATGAGAACATTTGAGCGTAATTCTTCAGGAGTGAGTGCAGTTCCTTCCTCTCAGCTTCAGTAACCTGTTTTGGTTGAGCGCAGAGGTCGTTTATAGATTTGTCCCGGGAATGGCAAGGGCAACGAAAAGGGATTTGCATATTTTATCGGCGTCTTTCCTTGGTTTAGGGACCAAACACTTCTTCTTGGACCATCGGCGGGTTGTGAGCATACCTGTATCGAAGTTCCTAACCGCTCGGGGCTGGCGTAAAAAGTCGACACCTAACAGCACATCCCAGGCTAACTCTGGGCACAGCACGAAATTTATCTCCCAGCTGTCATTCTCGATTTAAACTTTGATAGGTGCTTCTCCTGTTACCGAAATTTCTTTTCCTTCTGCAGAAAGTAGTCTAGTAGCCGGTGGGGTAATTTTGACCTTGGTGCATATCACGGGGAAAGCCTGTGGATTTAGTAGGGAACGGGCTGCCTCCGAGTCAAAAAGAAATAAGCATGTGTGACCTTCTAGCTTGCCCCGTACACGCATAAAGGTAGAACATCGTAAGGGAACTAGATAAGACAAAGAAAAGTGTGTCTTAGTGTGCGTTGAGGGGACGCTTCGGACCGCACGCCTTTACTCGCCAGTTGGCCGTTTGTTTAGAGTCCACGGGCGAATGCGTGCCTTGTACACGGTTGACAGTTGTAAATCTTGGCGCATCGGTTAGGCGGCTCAATCTGTTAGTTCTCATCTGCACCAGTTGTTCTGCCAAAATAGGTGGACGCACACCCCTTTTGAACTGCGCCGCTATTCACGAGGCAACTCGCAGAGGACAGCTTGGAAATTCCCTGCAAAGTCTTCATCACTTCCTCCCGCTTTCTGCAGCCGATGGAAAAAGTCTGAAGCCAAAACTCTTCCTTCTGGAGGGATGTCAATTTGACAAGGACCTTACAGCAGTCTTCCGTATCTGAGGAAAGCGAGACACCCGCATCCATTGCTTCCCGAAGTAGGTCATAGGGCAAGGCGCAGAGTAGCAATGGTACTCACCGAGCAGGCTCGTAGAGTTCGAGATCTGCCCTTGTAAAGAAAAGCCAGTCGTCGAAATCAGTGCCTTCTTTGAAGGGAGGGATGTCAACCGACGCTGCCACCAGTGTAGGAACCACATGTCTTCCCCCTGGTCCTTGGTCCTCAGATTTCCAGAGGTTGTTGGTTGCAGAGGCTTTATTATGCATAGCTATTAGGAAGGATGGAAATGTGACACAGGTGAGCAGAGTTGGGGATATCAATCAGAGTGGAGCTCCTCGCCGAGTTCCCGCACGTGATTTCCGCAAAAGAACAGTACGAACAAGACGACGAGCAACGATTCGATCGGTTGATGCAATACTTCAGTACCTACAAATCGCACAGGATTTGGGGATGCATGTCGCCTGTTCTTGGTGTTGATGCTGATAATCTGTTGAACCCCAAAATCGGGTTCGAAACCTCTCCTCTCACGACAAGAAGTTTACAATCCAACCAGCAGACAAGTCTGCAAAAGAAATCCACTTCTTGGTGGACAAGTCCAAGATTAATAGGCGAATTTTGGCGATGTGCACCGGCAATCATGAGCTGTAAGTGCGTAGACGGAAGTCTGACTCTATCGAAGTGCAAT